GTTATAGAAAATCATGAGTTTTCACATGAATATTCATATGATGAAAGTGATATTTTGGTGAAAATGATATACAGAGTTTAGAAGGGAATAGTATAAGAGAAGTCCTGGTGGTGCAGAGGGTTAAAGTGCTTGGCTGCTAACCAAAAGTCAGTGGTTTGAACCCAGCAGCTGATCCACAGGAGCAGGCAGTCTGCTTCTAAAGATTATAGTCTTGGAAACTCTATGGGCTGTTTTACCCTGTCCTGTAGGGTCACGATAAGTAGGAATAGACTTGAGAGCAAAGGGGAGTGGTAAGAGTTTATAAAAGCTTAAACTGAAGAGACAGGAATGAGAATGAAAAATATTATTGTAAATTACCAATAAGCAGCACAATAAACACACACACAAAATAAATCAGAAAAAAAGAGGTGTCAAGGATGATTCCTATGTTTGAACTTGAATAATGTGGGAAAAAAATAATGACATTTATACAAACATATGGGTACGATATTTTGTCACTGCCATTAAGCTGAATTGCCAAGACACATCTTCTTAACACTACTGATTATCGCTTGGGAATGTTATATCTGCTCATCACTTAGCTATCAATAGCTGATGTTGCCAGTTCCTTGGTAGGAAAACCAAACAAATCAGAAAAATGAGATGGATAAGTCAGAAATACAAACCTACTATATTTCATTACAGGCAGTATAGTGGCATAGCGGGTAAGGAATTTGGCTGCTAACCAGAAGGTCAATGGTTCAAATCCACGACAGGAGAAAGATTAGGCAATTTACTTCTGTAAAGATTTACAGCCTCAGAAACACAATAGGGGTGACTATGAGTCAGAATCAGCTTGATGGCAGTAGGTTATATTTTAATAACAAGACTAAAAATCTTTAGTATGTTGAAGTACAATAGTTAATCGTCTTTGAAATTTAAGCATGTGTGGTAGTTAAATTTGTATGTCAACTTGGCTGGGCCTGGTTGAGTGGCTGGGCAGCTGGTGGTAGTTATTCTCCATGATGAGACTGGCAATCAACTCCATGGTGGGATCTACCATAAGCAGCTGAGTAGCTGCCTTTGGGATGTGGTCTGCTTCCTGTATATAAGGAAAAGCTTTGGGGACTGTCTCTAGCTTATGGCATGTTTGAACCCTGTGTGTAGCCGTGTTATTGTTCAGCAGCCTGCCATGCTCTGCCAACCTTGGGACTTGCAATGGACTTGAGTTAATGGCCTGCCATGTGGTTTGGTAACATTGGGACTGTGCCTTTTTACTTGTCAACCTTCAGTTTGTCAGTCTCAGCCGCCAGCAGCTGAGTGAAGAAAAGCCTTTAGTTTCAGTGGGCGGGAGCAGGAGGTGGGGCTGAACCCCAAGGTTCAGGGGCTTTCACCCACCCCCTAGAGCCTGGTACTTTGAATGTGGACTTAAAGCCTCCAAGTTGTAAGAATAAACTCCTGTTTGTTCAAGCCATCCCATTTGTGGTATATTCTTGTCAGAGCAATACTAGGTAACCACAACAATATGGGTTTGTCTAAATCTAAAAACAATTTTTTACTTTATTTGTATAACATTTTTATTGTGGTCTTACATTTTGCAAGGCATGGTGAGGGATGTGCAGAATGTATACATCATCTAAGTAGCACAAAGTCCTTTGAGAGGACAGGGAAGAGAAAAAAATCTATAAATAAACATCACAGGGTAGATGTTATTTGAGTTTAGCCTTAAGAATTATGAAAGACTTAGGTGATGAGGAGTGACTTCAGCGAGGCTAATGGCATAAGAAAATGTTCACAGGTGAGAACATAAAAGGAATTAGAGGGCAATAAGTGTAGCTTGGTAGGAATCCAGGACATATGTAGAAAAGAAAAAATAAGTGGGGAACACCTCATAAAGACTGTATGAACGTCAAAATCAGGGCTTCGGATGTTAAAATAAGAAATAGGGAGTTATTACAGGTGTTCAGTTGTTACTACAAAGTACCATGACTATCACTACTACTAACGATAATAGCAATTAGCCAGCACTGTGTACCAGGCACACATTGGCTATCGTCGGTGAAAACTTACCCAATGAACACTTAAGAAAATTCAGTCACTATAAGTACTAATATGAGGGATTCAAAGTTAAACAAATCCCTGATGACGCTTTTAAAAATTAACAACATAGTTAAAGGAGGAAATGGCTGCCATATATTCTCAAATGATCACAACACAAATAGTTTTATGAAAAATGTTTTAATAGATGTTTAAAAATAGCTATAATATCTAAATAATCACCACTATTCATCTATTCTTACTATGCAAAAGGCTTACCCTGGAAATATTGCAAGCCTGGTTCCAGATCACAGCAATAAAAAAAGTATTACAATAACACAAGTCAAACAAATTTTTGGTTTCCCAATGCATATAAAAGTTTTGTTTAGATTATACTGTAGTCAGATAAGCGTGCAATAGCATTATGAATAAGCTTGAAATATTGTGAGAATTATCAAAATGTGACACAGAGAAACCAAGTAAGCACATGGTGTTGGGGAAATGGTACTGATAGACTTACACTGCACAGGGTAGCCACAGACCCTCAATTTGTAGGGGCAGGAGGGGGGGTGGAAAAAAGTGATTATCTGTGAAACATAACAAAGCTAAGTGCAATAAAATGAGGTGGGCTTGTATATGGTACTAAGTCTGTTATGTAGATTATCATGCCACTCCCTTGCTTAAACACTTCAGTGTCTTTTGACTGTGTTTTGTAGAAAAATAAGATCAGCATATAAACCCTACAAGACTTGACCTGTACCTGCTCTTCCATGTCATCACTGATGCTTCCTTCTAACATCCTTCAACTTTATTCATTCCAGCATAATCTCTCTCCAGAACATGCCAGATTCTTTCTTATAACGGAAATGCTGCAGTTTTTACTTCTTCTGCCAGAATGCTTTCCCTTCAAACTGGCTTATTCTTATCTCTCAGGTTTAAATGTAAAGTAATACTATTTATTTACTTGTTGGTTATCTTCCCTAAATATAGATGGTATTTGGCTCAGATGTTGTTGTTGTTAGTTGCTGTCAAGTTGATTCTGATTCATGGTGATCCTGTGTGTACGGCATAGAACTGCTCCATATGGTTTCAAGGCTGTGACCTTTGGAAGCAGATCCCCAGGCCTGTCTTCCAGTGCAACTCTGGATTGGTTCGAAATTTTCTTTTGGTTAGTAGGTGAGAGCTTAATCCTTTCTGCTACCCAGGGACTGTGCCTCAGAACAGATACTAATAAATGTTTATTGAATCAATGAATGTATGAATTGTCTCACATTAATTGTTACATCTCTGAGTCAAAAACTATCAATAGGTGGTATTACTACAGAAGTAGATTGCCCAACCTTCCTTCTGAGGAGTGGCTGGTGGGTTTGAACCACCAGCCTTCTGGTTAGCAGTCAAATGCCATAAGCACTATGTTACCAGAGCTCCTAGTTTAAAGATGAAGAAACAGAAACTCAGAAATATTAAGGTAACTTACCCAAGGTCATTAAGATCACAGTTAGAGAACAGAATTGAAAAGAGGATTTTCATTGTTCCACATTGTCTTCTAATATAAAGAAGGGGACTTCGATTTTGAGACCTTCAAGGGAGTTTTGGCATTTGACCTGGAACTTTAATGGACTTAAGAAGGTGATCAAAGGAACAGAAATTCAGTGTGTATTCTGGGATCACTGAGTAGCTAAAATTACTAAAGATAGAAAATATTTGTGAGCAATAGTGGTCTTTTGATGATTCCACAATTAAAAAATAAAAAGATTATTTTCTTCTTTTTTCTATTATTATTCCTAGAAAAATAATGTTAATATAACTTAATACTTCTTATCCCATTTAATCTTTAAAACAATACTTTAAGATAGGGGCTATTAATACTCTTCTTAATGAGGTAGAAATTGAAGGTAAGAGTAAATTACAGAATATCCTTGAGTTATATAAACAAAAAATTAGCTGAAGAGGGATTTGATTGCAGGTATACTTGTGTATCTTCTAACCTCAATTCAATGAAGCACAAGTCATCATTTATAGTATTTCTTTTACCAGACCCCAAATTCTATCATTTTCACAATTTTCCTAAGAGACTTTTTAATCTATCCAACAAATATATATTGACTTCTTATTATGTACTAGGTATTCTGTTAAGTGTTGGAAAAAAAGATTGATGTATGAGACAAATATTGTAAACTGCCTTCAGTGAGCTTCACATTTTGAGTCAGATCTCTTTTGCAGTTAATGAATGTTTTCAGTTTAACTTAGATATCCTGGATATGACCTTTTCTCTTTCTCAGAACATATCTTAGAAGGTGTATAGAATTAGGCAAGTCTATTCAGATTTTTTACATATTTGCAGGTGAATGGTGTGTTCCAATATAATATGTCTCTACTAGACCTTGCTGGGGACACGTGTGTGGCATGGTAGTAGTAAAGGGGTAAGAATATATGTATATAAAATCTATAGGACAGATGAGGGTATAAGTGGTGATATTTTGCCCATTTTGGCAAACAAGAAGAAATACAAAATAAAGCAGAAAGCAATGTTAAGGAAACAACAAGGGGAGGTACTGAGAATCGTTATGGGCTGCCGGAAGCCATCTCAATAAATTTTAATTGAAGTTTTGCCTATAGAAAATACATTTTAAGTACTAAATTCAAAATATTTTTAAGAGAGAGCAGGTGAGGAAAAAATAAATCATAAAATATTTTCTCTTTCACTTTGCCTTTTTAAATTATTATTATTTCTAAATAAGGTTTTAACTTTGTTGTCTGTCAATACCACTCCTTTCAACCTAGGAAAAATAATTAAAATAAGTGTGTGTTCTGCAGTCCAGCCAATGAATGGATAGATGATCTTTCTGTTGCTTTGCATCAGATTATCTTTGTGTTGGAAAAAAAAAAAAAAAATTCAAACAGCATGTATATCTATCACCTGTATAAACTGTGTATTCTCTGTTTAAACTAATCTAATGATATGCAACCTTATTTTTCCATAGATCAACATTGACTTCAGTACCCGGGACCTCATCTCAAAGAATATTGCAGAACCAACACTCAAGTGCTTTGATGAGGCTCAGAAATTAATCTATAGTCTCATGGCCAAGGATTCTTTTCCTCGATTTCTAAAGTCAGAGATTTATAAGAAACTGATAAATAGCCAACAAGTTGGAAATCATAAAAAATGGCTCCCTTTCTTGTGAAAAATGTAAATGATAACCTAACCATTAGAATATATTTGGAGAAAACAAGTAATAGGAGAAATCACCTCTCAACCATTACACTTTAAGACTAATCAAAAAAAGAAAAAAATTCAGGAATAATATGTTTTTTTTTTTTTTAGGTTTTGGAAAACATTTTTTTTTTTATTATTGCAACTTAATTTCTAAGTACATGTTTAGTATTTATTCATTTTACCAGGTTCTTAAAAATCTCCTACTACCAGAATACAGAAAGGTTTTACAAAGATATAATACACTCTTAAACTGTAAGTGGGTATTCTTATGACATTATAAACTCAAGGAGCTATCTATTTTCA